AAATTGGATTGCTAGATGGCTAGCAAATTTAATTTTTATTCACAAAATCAACATAGCCTCGGAACCTCATTTTGTTAGCAAAGATCCCACGTCACGAGGCTCTAATCCGGAATCACGGGATTTATATGATATTATCGATAATTGTGAAAACGAATGTGTATAATTAAATGTGTAAACCGTTAAGGATAGATAATAGACTCTTCGTTGAGTCGAACTCTACTAAGTAATACCGAATCTGAGTTCTATTTTATTGACTCTCGGTTATATTTTATTGAAGGTGAGCTCAAGGCTCTTAAATATTAAAGTTTTACAGACTAAAAATCGACAAAATGGATTCCATCGATTCCATGGAGTCCATGGACTCCGTGGAGTCGATTTCGACCATAAATGGTAATCCAGACAGGATAACCGAAAATAGGAAAGATACACTAATAATAGAATGTACAAAAATAGAAAATACTACATAATAATAAAATAAAAAATATATATACTGTATTGGCACAGCCCAAATTCGGGTTATGCTGCCCCAAATTCGACCCTTACAACATACACAGGTAGTTTTTGTACAAGAGAAGTTCTAAATGTATATGCACAAGTGTGCAATTAAATTTAAATATGGAGCTTGCGCAAAAAATGATGTGTAAGAAAAATGCAGCAAGGTTGAACATAAATTTAAAGAAAATATCAGAAATATTCCGAAAATTAACTAAATAAAATTTATATGCACATGTGTGCAATTTGTGTAATTAAAACCTGTGACAGAACTGCATTTGTGCAAGTAGGTTTCGATCTGAATTTTAAACACTGGTAGCAGATCTTCAAAGTCAAGGTTTTTCGGCAGGCCCATAGACCCGAAAAACATGACTTTAAAGACCTGCTACTGGCAGCGGTTACATGTGAGATACAAATGGAGACCGTCTGCCAAAAGTGGTTTATCATGCTAATTACACATACTGATTTCAGCTTGTGTATCAATTTTGGAACACTATTTTTACAGCCCACATCACTTCCTAATTTGAGACGGTTTCACCTGAAAAACACTCCTGTATCTCTTCTTGCTTTATAGTCATTGTTATTTGATAAAATATTAAATGATATGGATGAACCTGGGGAATTTGATGGTTTGTAAAAATGATATGTAATAAATCGCTTTTATTAAAGCACTTCTATGGAGTTTACAATATATATGCTATCAAAAATACTGGGAAACGTTTTATGGCACAAACCTTGAAACTTACCCTAATAAAAAATTACCGTATTATAAAATCTTGTAATAGGGGAATGGGCGTTATTCTGAGTTCAGGCAGTAACTCAAAACAATGCTCTGCTTGCTATTCCAAGATTTTACAGAAAGCTGAAGATTATTTATGGGGCCCCTCACGGCAAAGGGGGCAGTGAAATATTTTATGTAAAAATTTGCACCACCTTAATATTTATCAGTCTAAATCTTCAAAATACAAAATATCGCTTGTTTTTAATATAAGCAAGATTTTTTTGTATTTAAAGATTTAAATTAATAGGTATAAAATTAGAAAATTTTTACATAAAATTAAAATATCCCACTGCTTCTTTTTGCTGTAGGGTTCGCATATGGAAAGCCTTAAAACAATAACGTAATAGATGCAAAAACACCATAGATGCATTTTATAATGATCTATGTAAAAAATATTTAAACTTAATTTTTTTTATAGGAATACCATTAATTGCTAAAATGTAAGTTCTATTACATGTATTCATTTATTAGAGATTAAATAACAATCTTTCTAAGTAGTGTACTTTGATTGTTTGTATTTATTAAATTTAAATATCATTTATTAAATAATATTTAATCGATTATATTAACTATCAGAATGTAAGTTCGAATACGTATATTTGTTTGTTAAATCAAAATTTTAAATATCAATTATTATTTATTAAATAATATTTTAATTGATTATATTAATTATCAGAAAGTAAGTTCGAATACGTATATTCATTTGTTAAATCAGAATTTAAATATCATTATTATTTATTAAATAATATTTTAATCGATTATATTAAATATCAGAGCGTAAGTTCGAATGCATATATTCATTTGTTAAATCAGAATTTAAATACCAATTATTATTTATTAAATAATATTTTAATCGATTATATTAACTATCAGAAAGTAAGTTCGAATACGTATATTCATTTGTTAAATCAGAATTTAAATATGTGTACATTATTGGACAGACGACAAAAAATAACAGCAAATTGTTTTTTTTGTCGGAATTAATGTCACTCCATGTGCTGCTACGCAGCACATGAGTGAAATTAACTCCGATGAAAAAAAACAATTTGCTGTTATTTGATGTTATCCGATAGTTAATATGACCATGTGAAGTTTTTTCCGTGATGTTTTGCAAAACTGATTATGCAAAAAATATCATGGCAAAAAAATTCACATGATCATATGAAATGTCGGATAACAATTATTATTTATTAAATAATATTTTAATCGATTATATTAACTATTAGGTCGTAAGTTCGAATACGTATATTCATTTGTTAAATCAGAATTTAAATACCAATTATTATTTATTAAATAATATTTTAATTGATTATATTAACTACCAGCGAGTAAGTTCGAATACATATATTTATTTGTTAAATCAGAATTTACATATCAATTATCATTTATTAAATAATATTTTAATCGATTATAGTAACTACAGCAAGTAAGTTCGAATATGTATATTCATTTTTTAAATCCGAATTTAAATATCAATTATTATTTATTTAATAATATTTTGATTGATTATATTATTAACTATCTTCGAATACGTATATTCGTTTGTTAAATCAAACACCATTATTATTGCTAAATAATCTTTTGATCTAAATTGATAGTAAAAAAATTGAATCTGTTATTAAGGAATACAAAGCTGAAGTTAATCACAAAAACCAAAATGGTAAAACAGCTTTGCATTGGGCTGCAAAAAATGGTTGTACATTTATCGTTGAAAATTTGATAGAAAACAAAGCTCAGGTTAATGATAGTGATAATAATGGTGATACACCATTGTTTTATGCAGTAGAAGCAGGTTATGAAAATGTCATTAATTTTTTGATAAATCATCAAGCTGATGTTAATCATATTAATAATAATGGTGAAATAGCTTTGCATAAAGCTGCATATCGTGGTCATCGAAAAGTTGTTCAGATTTTGCTTGAAAAAAATGCCAAGATTAAGTTTGCTAGTAATAATGGCTGGACAGCATTACACTTTGCCGCTGCTGCAGGACATATAGGAGTGATCAAAATTTTGCTAGAACATAATGGTAATATTAAAACTACTAGTGAATACAGTAAAACAGCATTATATTGTGCTGCAGAAAATAAGCACACAGAAACAGTCAAATATTTACTGGAAGTAGAAGCTAGAAGCGATAAAGATTTTAACAAACAGTATTTCTATCATATTTATTTTGCTGCTAAGAAAAGATATGACAATGCTGTTAAGTTACTATTAGAAACAACTAATAATGATTATATAAGATTACATTATATTGCAGGAAAGGGATATATTAAAGCTGTTAAATTTTTATTAAAGGCTGGAGCAAAACAAGATATAATTGATGAAAATGGTAGGACACCATTACATTGGGCTGCATTTGAAGATGATGAAGAAATAGTAAAGGATTTAGTAGGAAAAAACATTAATTTAGTTGAATTTACGGATAACAATAAAGAGACGGCATTGTATGAAGCAGTATGGAATGGACATATGAATATTGTGGAATTTTTACACAACCAAGACAAAAAAATTAATTGTGAAAATATAAGTGGCTGGAAACCATTACATATAGCCGCAATTTCTTGTCAAGTTGAGGTTTTCAAGTTCTTAAAAAATAAAGAAGTAGATTTTTAATTGAGCAAATTTTTTGAACAGTTAGATACTTTCCAATTAAATAATTATTCCAAATTTGAAAAATTTTACAATCGCTATTGTGATTTTACAAAAGAGCTAATTAAAAAATTCAAAAAAATTTTGAAAGACAATTTAACCTAAAAGATAATCATGATATTGCACATCATTTTTGCCAGTTTTTTCTAAAACTTATTGAAGAATATACAGTAAAATTTAGCAGCAAACAAGATAAAAAGACACTTAGCTATCTATATACATGTACTCTTAGCAAGATTTGCAACCTCAAATCCAAATCGAAATCTAATTTAATAATTGATATAAATGGATATTTTGAAAAGGTTTAAAATGATATTAAATTATTCAAAGATGCAAACAAACGTATGGAAATAAAAAATTTAATGACCAATATGAAAATACAATTCAGCAGAAAATTGAAGAGGCCTATAACATTAAAGATCAGATCATGTGTGAAATGAATGAAATTGTCAATGAAATAAATAATAAAATAATTTCATTGATTGAGTAAACAAGAGAATTAATCAAAAAGGTTAAAGAAAATAAGCAAACATTAGAAGAAGAACAGAGTGAGTTAAAGAAAAAATTAGTATTAAGACAAATCTTAGAAATTTTAAAAATTGTAGGCCAAACAATAAGTGTTGTTGGTGGTCCTATTGGAATTGCTAGTGGTGTAATAAAAGGAGGAGATAATATAGTGAAAGCATTTATTTCAGAAGAGAATAAAAGTAAATCAAAATTTGAAATTCCTCAAGATATAAAAGATTCTTTAAAGAATATGAAAGAAATGGTTAAATCTGAAGAAAATGAGATAAAGATTGCAGAACAACAATTAAAAAAACTGTCTTACGAATGTAATAAATATACAGACTTGTCTAATATAAAAGTAAATTTAATTAAGATTCAAAAAAAATTAAGTGAGGTTAATTTTAAAAAAACAATAGTAAAGGAAATTAAAGATGAATTAGTACAAATACAGACAAAATTAGAAGAACTAAAAAAAAAGAATGAAAATGCTACTGCTAATCAAAAAACAAGTGTTAAATTAAGGGTAATACAGGACTTTAAAGTTGGAATTGAAACTATTGAAAATGTGATTGAGTTATATGTCAAATATCAAGAAGATAAAGAAAGACTTGATGCATTAAGTAATTCAATAAAGCAAGCAGATGACGGTATTAAAAAATTAAAGCAGTATGAAGAAAATATTAATAAGACTATTGTTCCTATGATTAATAAATGCAGGATGATATTAATAACATAGAAAATAAAATCAATAACAAATCTCACGTTTTTCTTGATCTAACTAAATGGAAAGTGCAAAATTCATTAGAAAGTATTAGAAATGAAATTCAGAAAATCTCTAAAGGATTCGATATACAAGAAGATACAATTTGTTATATGGAAAAGTTGGATGAAGGAAGAACTACTCTTATTAATATATATGACTGTGTACAAGACTATTATGATCAGGCAAATCTTGCTAGTTATATTGCACATATTTATTCTGCAACTAATGAAGAAAGTGCTACTATCGAATTAGAACAAGAAATAAGAGCCAATATTCTAACAGGGCATTTTAAAAGAGCTAAAAGTGCATTTAATCAATGGGTATTTCCATTAGCAAATGAGTATTTGAAAGCCTTAAATTCACTGGATCAAGACATTGATAACAATAAAGACATTGATAGCATAATATCGCAGATAAACATATTGCATTCAGTAATTCAAGAACGCAAATTAGCTATTAATAATGAAGATAGATTTTTGGTAAAGGAAGAATTTAGTAGTGAATATGAATCCTCAAATCCATTTTTTGTATGGGAAGGTAATATATACAGTCAAGAAATATCAAAGTTGCTAAGCGGAGAAGAAATTACTATAAAGGCAGAAATAACAAAAAGTGATCATGATGACAAAAATGCAATCAAGATAGGTATTAAGTTTAAATCAGAGAATGAAACAATACAAAATGAAATTGACCGTGAACTTAAACACTTTAATGTTAATATGTTCATTTAGGCAACTCATATTATCGATATAGCAATAAGTTTTACGTGATAATAAGCCATAAACAAGAAATATTTTATAGTTTTGAAAAAAAGAATACCGGAGAACCGCTTAGAAACAATGAAACATATGATAAAATTAAGAGAGGAGAACTAATGCTTAGCCCTTATACGATGTGGAAAATAAAGCTTAAATCTATTAACAAAGCTTGTTTTAGTAAATTAAATAAATATAAAAAAAGAAGTAGACTTAGAGTTAGTAGGACATGGGAAATATATAAGAGATAGAAAAGATAGCGATGATTTGAATCTTATGGTGGAAGACTACTATAAAGAATATGAAGTCGATTTTTTTTAAAATAATTTATAGAAATAACAATTCTTTGCAATATTTAAAATATTTAAATATAAACAATATTAAGTAACGTATTACTATATTAGGGATAAATGTCAATTAACTTATATTAAGTAGCGTATTACTGTATTAATGGTAAATGCCAATTAACTTATTACAAATTTACTTTGCTTTATTAGTATTTATTTAGCATTTATTCACACTATATGTTTTTATTTGTTTTTTTTATTTGTTTTAATATTATTATATATTTTTAAGATTTTTTCCTTAGTTAAGGTTTTTTTTATCTCAATTTTATATAATGATATATATAAATAAACGTTTTTATAATTTATAAACATCGTTTATCTTAGTTGAACGGATTAAATAGATGATATAATTGTCTTTTAGATACATGAATTAAAATGTGTTGAAATGTGCCAGGATTTAAAATTTAATTAGCGAAACTATTTTAACCAGTGTTGGCAATTTTTATCGGCCAAGCATTTTTGGCCGGCCAAAAAATGGCCAATTCGGCCAAATTCATATGTTTTTTTGGCCAATTTGGCCAATTTTTTGGCTGAAAGGCCAAACAAATTTAGGTTGGCCGGTAAAATTGACAACACTGATTTTAACTGATCAAATCAGATACAAGAAACATATTTCATTACGTCAAAGAAAAAAAAATTTCAAATATCATATGTAGAAAAATGTTGAATGAGTTTATCATTCCGGTCAACCAACTTTTTGCCACAAACAATCTTTTTTTTGCACCGGCTCATCAAACTTTATAACTATTAGAGTATATAGAATTAGTGTTCAAGCAATTTCGTGCTGTTTGCTATAAACGTATTACCTTTATGATTTTTTTCCTATTAAAAAACTCAACAATAATTTTTTTCGGTGACATTATATTATTACCCTTAACGAATTGTATAACATACGGAAAGCAATAAAAGTAATAGAAGTAGCCGAGTATTTGCAAAATTTCAAGGACATTTAATAAACCACATAAAATCGATAATAGCTCATTGATTGAGGTATTTAGTGTGATCCATTGTAGCATAATTTAATTTCATATGCAGCATATCCCTCCACTCCTAGTTTTTCGAGCACAACTAATTATTATTAAAAATCTGCTAACATAGATAGTGCTAATATATTATGACTATTAAAGCTAGATTTAAATTTAATATGATTAAGCCAGTCTCAAGACAAATCCTTACGTCAATGTTGTGGTCTAGCTTTACTATTTAAATCGAGTTTATTCGGGGTTTTATGTTTTTTGGAACCAGTTTCAAACTTAGCTTTTTCCCAAACACTTCCCTCAATGTTTAATAGGATATTCTGATTGGCTAAGAAAACAGATCGTGTTTAATCATTTTAATCAAAAAATCTGACCTAACAATTGTCTTTTTTTTTCATAGAGTTACTTTGTTAGATTAAATTTAAATCTCATTTTTCACAATAAATTTCCGATAAAATCGTTATGAGGATCACTTCAATTAATTTTGATTAATCGAAATAATTGAGCAGGATCTCGATCACTAGTAAATTATATTGAGGAGCTGCTTGAACTATTTGATAATTGTCCAAAATTTCGAAAAATTTCGATCAGTTCGGCTAAAATTTCAAAAACTTTTAACCAATTTAGCTAAAGTAAATTTTCGATATGATTAAAGAATTTTTATTACTTAATTACTTTGTAAAGTTTTTGTGTCCCTACTTGCGGGCCAAAAATTCTGTGGACACAGTGCAAATTCATATGATACGATTAGAATTTATCTAACTAATCATATAAATTTGCATAAGTAGTTGCACAAACCCAGGAACAGACGAACATTTAAAATTGAATTGTGCTAGACTAGAAGAACATACATGATGCCATTTTTTTACGAAACTTATTATAATATGACAATTCATGGCAATATGTTCGCATCTTTACTCAGACAATATTGACTCCAAGATAAATTAGCTTAATTTATTTGCTATATATTAAGTTGAAGTTGATTTTTGCGAAATTTATATGTAGAACCTTTCCCCGAGCTGAAGATTATTGTAGATCCTTTCCGATCTGATAACGGAGCCCAAATATTCACCAATCAGAATCTATTAAATTGAAAATCCTTTCGAAAATTTTAAATTTCTTTAAACTTCTAGCGAAGATTTTTCAGTAACCATTTGATCAAATTTAGTAACCTTTTTTTATTTTGATTCTATATATTTATAAATTAAAAAAAAAAAAAAAAATTCATTGAATTTGGTTTGGTGGTTATCGAGAAACCTTCGATAGAAGTTTTGAAAAAGCTTGAAATATCCTAGAAAGAAAATCTAAATTCAATGAGCATTTTTTTATTTTGATTCTGCAAGTACATAGGGTTAAAATAAAAAAATTCGATCAAATTTGAATAGACAGATATTGAGAAATATTGATTAAAAGCCAAAAAAAAGTTTAGCCGCAGCTTTTTTTCTACGGACATCTAAATTTGAATGAAGATAACTCAGCACTTTTCTAACCAAATTCAATCAAAACTTTTTTATTTTTAATTCTATGAGATTATAGAATTAAATTAAAAAAATTTTAATGGAAACATCCGTAAAAAAAGCTGCAGCCAACTTTTTTCAGCTATTAATCGATATTTCTCAACACTTGTCTATTCAATTTCAGTAAATTTTTTTTATTTTAATCCTAAATACTTGCAGAATCAAAATAAAAAAATTCATTGGATTTGAATATATGGGTGTTGAGAAAACATCATTTAAAGTTTTGTAAAAAAATTTAAAAAAAAGAAATTTATTTATTTAAATTTTAATTAATAATTGCTCAACAACCATCTATCCAATGAAATTTTTTTGGTTTGATTCTGCAAGTTTGCAAGATTAAAATAAAAAAAATTAACTGAAATTGAATAGACAGATGTTGAGAAATATTGATTAAAGTTAAAAAAAAATTTGGCCGCAGCTTTTTTTACGGATATCTAAAATTTGAATGAATCATGTTCCATTAAAATTTTTTTATTTTAATTTTATAATTTCATAGAATTAAAATAAAAAAGTTGATCGAATTTGATTAGATAAGTGCCGAGTTATCTTCGTTCAAAGTTTAGACATCCATAATAAAAAAGCTGCGGCCAAACTTTTTTTTAGCTTTTAATCGATATTTCTCAACATCTGTCTATACAAATTCGGTAAAAAATATTTTTTTAAATCCTTCATACTTGCAGAATCAAAATCAAAAAAAATTTCATTGAATTTAGATAGATGGGTGTTGAGAAATCATCGTTAGAAAGAAAAAATTTGCGATTTTGAATTTTTTTTCCAAGATATTTCAAGTTTTTTCAAAACTTCTAGCGAAGGTTTCTCAATAACCACTAAACCAAATTCTATGAACTTTTTTTTATTTGTTTACAAAAATATTGAATCAAATAAAACGCTTTACTAAATTTGATCGAATGGTTACTGAGAAATCGTCTCTAGAAGTTTAAAAAAATTTAAAATTTTGGCTCTGGAATTAGATCGGAAAGGATCTACAGTTAGGCGAGACCAATTTAATTCAGTGGTTTCCTACTCCAAATAAAGAGGGGGGCTGGAGGGAGTTTATTATGAATTTTTTCACGAAATGCTCCGCGTTATTATAAAAATTTTCCGAAATTTTCCGCGTATATAGTGAGGGGGGGTAACGTAAACCACTGAATCGAATTGGTCTCGCCTTAGGGATGGAAAATTACTGTAATTTTACGTTATTTTACGAAATTTTGAGTAATCTTCTGAAATCAAAATTACATGTAATTTTTATAATGCTTGCATTAAAAATAAATAAAAATTACAATTCCGAACATAATAATGGATATCTATTAGCGCTGGTTAAACCTTTGTAATATCGGTAAAATTATCAAGTGACAATGCGCTATTCAATGTAAAGTTACATTACAATTTCATAAGTTACAATGTAATTTACATGAAACGTAACAATGTAATTTATGTAATACATTCCTATCTACAGTGATCTTCAGTCCGGAATTTTCACGACAAATTAAGAGATATTTTGGTCACCAAAAATATAAATATTTCTAACGTCTAACCCATCTTCCTGTTGTCAAATTTTTATTTTTCTGACGACGTACCTTATTTTGAATAAATTTAATGATATAAAAAAATTTGGGGCATTTCACAAATGCGCCACAATGACGCGAAGTTTTATTTAACATTACTCTAATATAAAAAAGTCCTAAGGTTAAACCACGGATAAATAGACCAATTTCATAAGATTATAGTATACAGTATTGCTAAGGAAATAACAAATAATAAGTTTTCATTAAACTGTTAATAAAAAAAAATCATTGTAAAAGTCATTTCTAGCTTTGAGAGAACGCCTATATTCACTGCAAAAATAATCAAAAATAATTGGTAACCACAAGGACTCATTTAGAAGCGAAGTTTTTCGTTATTTATTACTATTACTATCTGTATTAGCTTTGTCTAAAGATACTTTGGATTAAGATATAACTAAGGTAAATTTAACAAATACAGAAATATAGGATATTTATTTTGTAAGATAGTAACTTAGCGGAGATATACGTAACCGAAGTCTGACTGTATAATGTTTTTAAATTTCAAAGTGAATAAATTTTCAAAGTTAGAGCGCTTAAAGAAAATCTTTCTGGAGAATTTTTAAGTCT